CCCTTAAAATGGCTATGTTTCGGTATAGGCCCCATTTAGTTTAGTTTAGTTTATTTCATACAAGTAATGCAAGAAGCTGTATTTGCTCTAAGGTTTTTTTTAGAATTTTGGCAATAGTTCTAAACAGAATTTTCCAGGATAAGTCCATGTTATGGTATGGACACCGTATAATTTGTTCTCTCGATATGCGATATTTTGATGCTTTTATTCACATTTTCAACTGAGTTATTGCAAAATCTATACAGGGTCACGTTTTGCATAGATCCAAACATTTGTAGGCCTTCATAGGCATATTTGCAAAATTATTACTTTTCATATTTATTTTCATGCAACTTTACTCAGATCATGACCAACATTCCAAAACCCGCAATTTTTCACAATTCGAAACACTGTGCATTGTTACTCTTGGACGATTCAATATTTTTATTATCCCCAGAACTCATTTTCAATGAGCCATTTTATTGGCAATTGCAGTAATAGTAATAATAATAATTAAATAAATCGTAATTCATAAAAATTAGTATTCAAATGAAGGCATCTGTAGCTATAGATAATACAAACGATTTATCTCCCTATCTGGGGTTTTGCCACATTTCCAACACTTTCAATTGTCTAAATATGAAATGTGTATGAATCTCTCTATGCAGGTATGTATTTTTGTATATTTGTTTTCAACAATTTCTACAAACATCCAATGCAATCGGTAATTCTGTGCCATGACCAGTTTGTATTTGTAATATTCACATCGTGTAAATTGAAAGCAAAAATACAGTAACAACAAAAACAACAACAAGCCCACTCGCTCATTACAAACAAATCATGACAAATGGAATCCATTCATTCATTCATTCATTGGAACGTCAAGTTTGCCAAAGTAGACTTGTAAAACATTGCTAAATGCTACGCTCTCAAAGAACAAGCCAAGATAAGCAGCGGGGACCATTGTTGCCAGGAGGCAGATATTATTTGAGCAAATTTTAGAAAAATTCGATTAAAAGATGAAAATTATTTCCTTAGTATTTAATGCTCATTCAATATTTATATATTTTTCTTTTCGCGAAAAAATCCTTAGCGGGGGTTATGAACATTTTTCCAATGAAAAATCGAGACCATTGGAAGACGAGAAATAATTGTATCCAATACAAAAATTTCCCTCGGATTTCATGACGGTAGATTTAAATACCTCAAAGAAATCAGGGAAATTTGCCAAAGGCCCGAAATTTGGCCGCAGCTTCACAGGAGCGTGACTTCCCCGAAATCGCACTAAATTATGTGCCATGATAATAAGCAAACGTATATTTTTGGGATGTTTGTCATTATTTCGGAATCTCTCGTAATTCAGTGCATGACACCCAAATTTACCGACTAAACCAACCCGAATTTAAGCGCTAAAAGATATAAAATGCTGACATTTCTAAAAAGGTAACTGGTAAGGCTATCATTCATAAATTAGGGTATTGAGTCATTGGTCGAAGCATCACCCGTATTCTGTTCCGCAATATAGAGTTTTGAACTGAAAGTACTAAAAGCTTGGGAAATATCTAATTACATATAATGTGTAGAAGTAAAATAAAAGTCCGTGGTCTCAGTGTACGAGGAGGACGTATGTCACAAGGACAAAAAGTCAGTGTTCTCAGTATACACTGAGGAAATTTTTTTCTTATATATATATATATATATATATATATAAGAAAAAAAAAATATATATATATATATATATATATATAAATACCAATATCTAAATACCAAAATGCCGATCCCCTCACGCAAGCGCTTTGCCGGCAATAGGCCAAAATTCCGCAGAGCAATATTCGTACAGGTTTCGTTGACCGTTTGAAGGCCATAATTCGTGTCAAAAGTAACCAATTCGAACAAATCTAAACTTATTCAAAAATTTGATGCTATCTCCGACATTTTTTGATCTCATTCAATAAAATTAAAAAAAAATGTAAAAATTATGACGTTTGACTTTGTTGCAGTTTTTTCATCTCAAATTTTTCCGAAAAGCTTTTTTCTATAGAAAAAAATATTCAAACCAACGATCTTTTTCTAAAGAAAACAAGTGAAAAACCTGTAAGTTCGGCCGGGCCAAACTTTGAATACTCTCCACCATTTGGAAAGAATTTGGCAATTCTCAAAAAAAAAAATCTGTTTAAATCTTAAAAATACCGAATGGAGCTGTTATATTGGGGTCTATACGACGACATGGACGTGCATAGGTAACTTTCGTCATAAGCCATTACAATATTCAAATGCAAAACTTAAAAAAAATCGATGAATAATGTAACTAAAATCATCAAAATACCGAATATCGGGAGGTACCGTTATATGGGGGCTGTACAAAGATGTGGACCTACACAGACAATTTTCTGACTTAGGCTGTAGTATCCATCACGAACTTCAAATGCCAAATTTGAAACAATTCCGGTGAATAATGTCGCTAAAATCATAAAAATACCGAATATAGGGAGGTTCCGTTATATGGGGGCTATGCGAAGACGTTGACCTGCAAAGCCAATTTTCTGTCATAGGCTGTAGCATCCATTATGAACATCAATTACCAAACTTGAAACATTTCCGGTAAATAATGTCGCTAAAATCATAAAAATATCGAATATCGGGAGGTACCGTTATTTGGGGGCTGTACCAAAACGTGGACCTGCACAGACAATTTTCTTTCTTAGGCTGTAGTATCCTTTTCGAACTTCAAACACTTCCGGTGAATAATGTCGCTAAAATCATCAAAATATCGAATATCGGGAGGTACCGCTATTTGGGGGCTTTACCAAAACGTGGACGTGGACCTACGTGGTCTATTTTTAATATTAACAGTCCTGCAGACACAATATACATTTGAGTAAAATTTGATCAATCTACTTCATTTCGCTCGGAAGCTAGAGTGATTTCCACAGACGAACAAACGGATAAACGGAGAGACGGACGGACATCGCTAAATTGACATAGAACTTTATGCTGATCAAAAATATATATACTTTGTGGGGTCTAAAATATATATTTCGAGGTTTTACAAACGGAATGACAAACTTAATTTACCCTCCATACTATGGTGGAGGGTATAAAAAAAAACCTCAGACCAACGATTTTTTTTCTATAGAAAAAACCTAAGACCAACGATTTTTTTTCTATAGAAAAAACCTCAGACCAACGATTTTTTTTTATAGAAAAAACCTCAGACCAACGATTTTTTTCTATAGAAAAAAATTCATCAGACCAAGGATTAGACCTATGATTTTTTTATAGAAAGCAATTCCTCAGACCAATGATTTTTTTCCAAAGGAAAATAGTGCTCAGACCGACAATTTTTTTCTATAAGATAATAATGCTCAGACCGACAATTTTTTTCTATAGGAAAAAAACCTCAGACAAACGATTTAGAAAAAACGATATAGAAAAAAACCTCAGACCAACGATTTTTTTCTATAGAAAAAAACCTCAGACCAACGATTTTTTTCCATAGAAAAAAACCTCAGACCAACGATTTAGAAAAAAACGATATAGAGAAAAACCTCAGACCAACGATTTTTTTTATAGAAAAAATCCTCAGACCAACGATTTTTTTCTATAGAAAAAAACCTCAGACCAACGATTTTTTTTTCTATAGAAAAAACCTCAGACCAACGATTTTTTTCTATAGAAAAAAACCTCAGACCAACGATTTTTTTTTTTTCTATAGAAAAAAACCTCAGACCAACGATTTTTTCAGACCAACGATTTTTTCTATAGGAAAATAATCCTCAGACCGACCATTTTTTTCTATAGGAAGAAATTCCTCAGACCAAGGATTAGACCTATGATTTTTTTATAGAAAGCAATTCCTCAGACCAACGATTTTTTCTAAAGGAAAATAGTGCTCAGACCGACAATTTTTTTCTATAAGAAAATAATGCTCAGACCGACAATTTTTTTCTATAGGAAAAAATTGCTCAGACCGACAATTTTTTTCTATAGGAAAAAATTGCTCAGACCGACAATTTTTTTCTATAGGAAAAAATTGCTCAGACCGACAATTTTTTTCTATAGGAAAAAATTGCTCAGACCGACAATTTTTTTCTATAGGAAAAAATTGCTCAGACCGACATTTTTTTTCTATAGGAAAAAATTGCTCAGACCGACAATTTTTTTCTATAGGAAAAAATTGCTCAGACCGACAATTTTTTTCTATAGGAAAAAATTGCTCAGACCGACAATTTTTTTCTATAGGAAAAAATTACTCAGACCGACAATTTTTTTCTATAGGAAAAAATTACTCAGACCGACAATTTTTTTCTATAGGAAAAAATTGCTCAGACCGAAAATTTTTTTCTATAGGAAAAAATTGCTCAGACCGAAAATTTTTTTCTATAGGAAAAAATTGCTCAGACCGAAAATTTTTTTCTATAGGAAAAAATTGCTCAGACCGAAAATTTTTTCTATAGGAAAAAATTGCTCAGACCGAAAATTTTTTTCTATAGGAAAAAATTGCTCAGACCGAAAATTTTTTTCTATAGGAAAAAATTGCTCAGATCAAGGATTTTTTTTCTATAGAAAAAAACTCAGATCAAGGATTTTTTTCTATAGAAAAAAACTCAGACCAAGGATTTTTTTTCTACAGAAAAATAGTCCTCAGACCTAGGATTTTTTTTAGAAAGCAATTTCTCAGACCAACGATATTTTCTATAAATAAAGTGCCTGAGACCCACGATTGTTTTAATAGAAAAAAATGCATTTCTCGATTTTTTATATGAATTGCTGTTTTCCAATTCCGCAACAACGACAACCCTGTAAACACGGACTTAGTGTCTTTTTTTAACAAAACTATTTACGAAATCTGTTGATAACTTTTTGAACTGGACTCTGTGTGGAAATAAACACAACAAACCTACAACCGGCTGGCGGGTTGGCTGTCTAACTTTAAGATACAGAGAGCGATTCCAAGCAAGAGCAGCAACAACTGCTGCCACAAATGAATGGGTGAGCAAATACTAATTGTCGGACAGTCGGCCACAAATAGAAAAAATGAACAGTCCGGCAGTTGTACTTGTTCGGTTCAGTGCGTACGTAGTAGCGCTGTGGCAATTGAAAGCAGCGGTGGTGTCGGCGGAAATTTTTTCCAGAGATTCGTGATAATCGACTACGAAAGATCATGTCGTGGCAATTTCGAAGAAGCTTTTTACTACTAATCCAGGTGATTCACTTGATGGACTTTGGCCGTGGTACGCCAACGGTTCGGGTGAATTTGGAAGCGAATCGCATTTCGCAAAACAATGACTCGGAATATGTGGCGGGCATAATGCGTTTGGCCAAATCGGCAGAGATGCGAAATTTTATGAAAACGGATGAAGATGTTTGTGAAAATTTCTATGAATATGCCTGTGGGAATTGGCCGCGTCTAAATCCGGCCGAGTCAACGGCCAGTAGGAAAACGTCAATATTTGATTTGCTTGAAATGACCTACAAACAGAGACAGCTGAATCTTTTAATGGAGGATTGGGAGAATGAAGAGACGGATGAGGAAGATGAGGAGGAGATGGAGGGAAGGCATCCCGGAGATGCTATCAATGCAGAGGCTGTGAAGAAGGTGAAAGACTTTTACAAATCCTGTCGCAAAATGAGCATGGTAAAGAAACCCCAAGTGGTAATGGAAATGCGTAAAATAATTGACGAATTGGGAGTCATGCCAGCCTTACTGGGTCCTGGCGAGGAATGGGAAGGAGAAAAGGATTTCAATTGTTTCAAACTGTTGGGCTCCATTCAACACAGATATGGTTTTGACATTATCATACAATTGGGTTTAAGGCCAGATTTTGATAACAGCTCCCAGCACACTTTGTTTGTGGGCCAACCGGCCTTGAAGCTGCGCACCAAAAGCGTTTATCAGGGTTTGGCCACCCAGCGTATAAGAGAGCAATACCAAGAGGGAATAGAGAGTAATTTAAAAGATTTTCTCGATGTACCGGCGGAGAGGGCCCACCTGGTGGCCAAGGGAATTTTGGAATTTGAAATCCAATTATCCGAGGGACTCATGGATTTTCACACCGACACCACCCTGAGAGCTGCCTCCATTAAAAGGACACCTGAGGAACTGGAGTCACTATATGGAGAAGATATGAATTTTCTACTATTTTTGGAAACCATTTTGGGTTACCCTTTAAATGTCACGTGCTATGAATATAGCCCAAAATATCATGAGGTTCTACGCCAGGTTTTACAGCGCACCCCCAAGGCTCAGGTGGCCAATTATATTATGTATCAACTGGTGGAGCCGTTCTTTATGGCATATGATCGCTCCTTCTTGGCGCTGGAGGAAATGTGTCTGGAGAAGACGAAAAAGTTCTATCATCATGTTTTGGATTACATGGTCTACAGGAGTTACAACACCGCCCTGATGCAGCATGACATTTTGACAATTTGGCGTGAGGTCAAACAAACATTCCGTCAGCAAATGGACACGACACGCATGGACTGGTTGAGTGCAGATTCACGTAAATTGGCTCTGGAGAAATTGGACAAGCTGCAGCTGCACATTAATTCCTATGAAAAACGGAATTTTTCCGAGGAATATAAACTGCTGCGCATTGATGAGGGCAACTACATTGAAAATCTCAAGGATATGAATAATTTGCGTGTCATAAAGTTTCTCGAGCAATTGAGTCAGTCGGGAAAACTGGAAATGCCCACACATCAATTGGGCTATTCACCGGCTTTTATTAACTCGGAAAATCTCATCATTATACCCGTGGCTCTGCTGCAACCAAATTATCTGTGGTCCAGCCATTATCCACAGGCCCTGAAATTCGGTACCCTGGGTTTCCTTTTGGCCCATGAGTTACTGCATGGTTTTGATGACATTGGCACCACACCACCACATAAGACGGGCACCAATAACACCAGCACCTGGTGGGATGAGGCCTCCTTTAAGGCGTTTAAACACAAAAAGTCATGTTTTAAAAATCAATATGCCCACTTCCGTTATAATGGCAAATATTTACCCATGTCCGATATGCAATCGGAAAACATAGCCGATAATGGGGCCATCCAAATAGCATATAAATCCTATATACGCTGGCTGAATCAGCAGACGCTGGAGTCGCTGGATGAGCTGTTGCCCAACATGAAATTCAACAACAAGAAATTATTTTTCCTCAGCTTTGCCCAATTCTTTTGCGTTGATGTCGATGAGGTAATGAAGGATAAGGTGTCGTTACTCGATGTCCATGCTCCGGCAAAATATCGAGTGGTGGGGCCTTTGGCAAATTTCGCAGAATTTGCCAAGGTATTTAAATGTGCACAAGGCTCCACCATGAATCCCCTGAAACGCTGTGAAATTTACTAACTTTGTTTTTTGTTTTTTTTTAATCAGCCAAGTACCTTAGAAATCGGATTAACATTCTATGAATAATTTTAATTAATTTTTTATATTGTTTTGTAAGTTAATAAGAAAATACCAAATCACACAATATATATGTTTTTATGTTTTAATAAATGTCGATCGAATAATTATTCGTGTTGGATTTTACATTGTCTTAGGTGTGTTATCGGTTGATATGAAGGCGATAAACTGAGGAAACATTTTCATCACATCATTTTAGATTTACCACTTCGCTCATTACCGTGTATCAGCGTTTGGTAGCAATTTGTAAGTTTCGAATTTCCCAATGCTGCCGTCCCACATCTTTTGCCAGCATTCCAAATTATAGAATTCTAGTACTATTGAGTACCAATTTCATACATTCTGTCCTACTCCTTCCAGTCAATACACTGTTGGTACTTTTTTAGTACAAACAGGTAAAAAAGCAACTAAGTTCGGCCGGACCGAACTTTTAATACACTTCACCATTTGGAAGGAACTTAAAAAATGTAAAACCAGTAAAAAAAGCCTTAAAGTCAGGCGGGGCTGACTTTATGATACCCTACACCACTTTGCTAATTTAGAAGAGTTCCGCATAACAATTAAAAGTTCATACACGCTATGATTATAATTTTAAGTTCAAAGAACTGAATATGCCGAAGCATTTGTATCTTTTAAATTCGGACTTATATTACCTATTCGGTGCACAATTAACTTGAAATCGGATAAAGAGATATATGGGAGCTATATCCAAATCGGAACCGATCTCGATAAAATTTGGAAAAGATATTTCTGAGCTGTATTTGATATATTTCCCTGAAAATCGTCGTTACGGAGTGCATATTACAGCTGTGGGTAACAAATATAACAAATCGAATGAAGAGTATATATGGGAGCTATAGTTATATCTGAACCGATCTTCACCAAATTTGACATACTAGCTTCTAGACTCAATTCGGTCGTAAGTGCCAAATTTCATCCAATTTGGGCATATATTAGACGTTTGGTGCACAATAAAAAGTAAATCGGACGAAGTTATATATAGGAGCTGTATCCAAAAACGATCTCGATAAAATTTAGCAAATGTATTTCTGAGCTGTATTTGATATATTTCCCCAAATATTGTTGTTACAGAGTGCATATTACGGCTGCGGAGGACAAAAATAACAAATCGGATGAACAATATATATGGGAGCTATAGCTATATCTGAACCGATTTCGATCAAATTTGGCATACTTATTTTCAGGCCTAATCTGGTTGTACGTGCAAAATTCCATACTCTTCGGACTGATATTACACGTTTGGTGCACAATAAAAGGCAAATCGGACGAAGATATATATGGGAGCTATATCTAAATTTTGACCGATTATCTCCAATTTCAATAGAGTTCGTCCTTGGGCCAAACAAATGATTTGTGCAAAATTTCATCTGGATAGGGCAATAAATGCGAACTGTACTTTGTTTACAAAAATACATGGACAGACGGACGGACGGACGGACATGCATAAATCGACTCAGAATTTGATTCTATGCAGATCATCAAAAGGAACTCTCGTTTCCTTTTGCCTGTTACAAGCAAATGCACAAAGACGTAATACCCTGACCACCTTGTGGTGTAGGGTATAAATATTAGTTTCTTCCGTTTATCCTGAACCAAACTGTTCCAAATTTAATACCATTTAGTACAGCTCGCACATTTAAAACACATTTCCAAAGCTATTTTCATACATCAAACTTACTTTCCAACCTTCATTTTCATACCAAATTTCAAGTGTTTAGTTGTATCGGTACACATAATACCAAATGGAACCATTTTAAAAGCTAAGTGCAATTTTTGAACTTTTCGTAAGCTTAAAGTTCGAATTTCTAAAAAGCCTTTCGTATATTTACCCTGCACTCCATCAGGGACTCTCATTCCAAATTGTACCTTATAAAGTTGTTTCAATACAAAGATACCTTTAGTACACTTTTACCCACAACAATACCTCACTTGCAAAATTTAATCATATAAGTACCGAGTTTCTGCCGCATACACTGATTTGAGTACTTATTTAGTATAACTTTTAGTACAAATTACCAAAAACCTCCCGTGCCCCCCAATTTTTAAGTTTCTCACCCTTGAAATAGATAGATCGATACACATCTTTATTTGTAACTATATATTCTACATCCATAGGCTTTTTCCTAATTTCCTTCTTCGAAAAACTTTAATTTCCAAAGGATACCCGAAACATTCAACCCCACTCCCTCCCACCCCACTACATGTCAAATTATGCCTGATTTAGAATGGCATTGTAAATCTCCCCAAAGATGATTTTGTCATCCATCAATTTCGGTTTGACGCGTTGAGATTTGAACAACAAACGGCGAGCGGATGAACGAACGAACGCAACCTCTTAGGAGAAAATTGAACTGTCAATTTACTATAGCCAGGCTGGCAGCCAATCACTATCATTTTCATTGCTGGGGGACCGAACCCACTTACTCACACACACACGCACCCAATGTAAATGTAATGGAATGCTGTAAGGCACGAAGAATAAACTAAGCATTGTCGAACATATACCGACGAACTTGTGCAATTGGCCACCATCCCTCTAAGCATTTTTGAGATTTTTGTAACAATATATGAATAAACACACACACACAC